TAGACAACTGTTAATAAACACTTGTATCTTCTGGATGATTGCTTTCGTAGTTGTCCAAGTTTGCGCTCCATACAGCAGAACTGTGTCGGCATTTGTAATGAGAATTCTGACTTTGGTGTTGGTTGACAGATGTTTGGAGTTCCAATATTTAGAAACACTAAGAAATTATCTCTTTATTGAAAAAAGTGTACAGTAATTTTTATAAAGAGGAGAAGTGTTAGATAATGTATTTTCTTAAAATTATTAAGTATCATATGAGTATGTAACGTGTAAACAATTCTAACTCACAACGTTCAATAAAATCGTGAAAAATGTTTATTTATTTATTTATTTGAACACATAAATAATGGTACAAAGGGGCATCAAATACATATGCTCCACAGAAGTCACTTGATTTGTGTGTGGGCTGTGATAATGCCCGGGTGCCAAAACTGGGGCAGGTGATTTTCTTATGGGGCCACATAAGGAGCCTTCGACTTAAAAGTCTGATTCACAAGGTAGTAGAGCAACGTCAAGAGATGCAATCCCATGGTAGCCGATGATCAACGATTGGTTTATACGCCATTCGTCCCTTCAGGATACTGTAGCACATGTGCATCATTTGTTTGGAATTAAGGTTTTCTAACTTCCCTAGAAGGACTCTCCGTGTCCATCAACCCGGTTAAAGCGGTAGACATTCGTTTTTCGTCCTCTCAATTTCGTAAACAACACCCCAACCACGAGAAGGCGGTGAGTAGGACTTCCCTGTTAGTGGCTGTTAAGTGTGGCCATGTGAGAGCATTTCGAGAGGGAGAGCGGATTCTCCATACCCTCGGCCGTATTAGGGCATTTGGGGGCCATGAAGAGAGCTAGTGATTTAAGTGGTAGTTCATGCTGAGAATTGTTGATCATTATATTATGATATTTTATATCGTAATCCTATGAACGGAAGCTTATTCTTGAAAGTTGCTTAGGTTTCTTCTATGCACATAAAACTGACACTATCTTATAAACTGAATTAATAAGTGTCCTATTAGACCGAAAATATTTAAGTTTTCTAGTTATCTAAAGGTCAGCAACAAAGGTTAGGAACTATTCTCAACTTAATTGCCTGCTGATATGAAACTAAAGACTTTTCTTCCATAATGATATGTCTTACAAAACGAACGTTTGATTTGATTTCCTAGCCACCTCTGATAACTCCAGACTGAATCTACACAGAAACCTCAACACAAGTGAAGAGATGTGAAGAATGGTTGTCAAGATTTGTTTGACTCTAAATTAAATCAAAATGATTTAGGAATACATCACATTTACAGTTAGATTTATATAGATTGAACTAAGTTGTGTCTAATGATAATAATCCAACAACTTACTGTGTGAACACATAATTGCAATATAATACTGTAGTGAATAATAACATAAGAGGAAACAGCCAAATGTATTTGAATACAAAATTGCAGAATTACTTAGTAAAATCTAAGAACCATACAATAAATACTTCATTTGCAAAACGTCAATTGTCTCAACAGTCTTAAACTTGACTGTTCCTTTTGCAAATATTACTCAATCGTATCAGGCTTGATTGTTCCTCTGTTTCCATACCAATCAATCTCTATTCTCGTTCTTTTCTCTTCGATCTTCTCAACGTTCTGTCTACAGGCATTCTACCTTTGGTTGATGATACACACTACATATATCTGTCAACGCCAGTAGCACATACCATAATACAATTAGACTTGTATAATCCTTCCAAAGATCTGAGTACATGTCACATACGATTCGAAAAAACATTCAATTTCATATGTTATTCCCATTCTGCTTGATCAATTTGTTACTCGTAATGTCGTCATATAATAAGATACAAGTGAATAACAGGAAATCAAGAAGTGTGAGAATTTAGCATTTGACTATTTCCAAGTCAATCGATTTTCAATTCATTACTTTGTGTAACTATCCTGTAAAATAAGTACTTTAGAAAACTACTAAAAAATTTACCATGCACCATGATAAATTAAGTGAGTACTTGAATTTATCATCATGGCAGTAACTATGGGCTAATATTTCATTAAGCTTTCAGATGCATTTAAAAATTTGAATTAGTTTCATTTTTTAACATATTATTCATGTATTTTATAAGCTTCATTTGACGAGTAAACTAGTGTTTTCAAGACATGATACGACACTATTTCAATTAAATAAAATGCACGCCGCCGAAGTGTCCCATAATAAGATGAAGTGGACGTCCAGTACTTCCAGGTTTCCTAGGGTGGTCTAACATTGATCGATTCATGATCTAACTGGAACGATTTAGTTAGCTTAACGTTTTTATTAAGCACAACTAACTATTTATTTCAATTTCAGTAGTTAAAAAATGTTTATATGTATATCCGATAGTGTTCGCTTTAATTTTAAATATATTGGCTATTTTGATTTATGATGACGAAGGCTTGGAATATTTTTAACATTTTAAAGTGCTGAAATTTTACTGTTCTTCATGCCATTTTACCATATTGTGTGTGAATACTAAACCATTACGAATTTTTCCTTTCACTTCTACCGGTTTATTCTTTTCAAGTTAAACTCCTAGTTTGTAGTATCACTTTGTTCCTCGAAATTAATTTTTCAAGTATTTTATATGGTGCATTTGTAATAGTATTTTTTCCTGTTACCAAGATGACTTAAATTATTCAGTGAAAACATATTTTATATTCTAGTTCTGTTTCTGAATGTCTAGAAGGCTACTGCTTAAAAAATAAATTAAACTAGGATTTCAAGTGAGCTGTTATTCGAAATATGTTTACAAGTTGACATAAACGTAGAAGTTTCAATGACAGAAATAGCTTGTTTTACAAACTAATAAGTGTCACTTAATTAGAGATTAGAAACAGAAAATCGAAATACTGATAAGTCAGTTACTTAGCTTATTATATGAAGGTAATTTATTAAATGTATGTAAAATATAATCTAAATCAATATTATCGTTACAAACGACAAACGTGTCGTCAATGTATCTTATGTATAGGTGAAATTAATTGATCATTGAACTGAGTTTGTCGTTTTCTAGTTTTGCCATGAAACAGTCTGCTAAAATCGGATCCAATGAAGACCCCATTGCGATCCCATCCCTTTGTCTATATATTTCATTGTTGGAACTGAACTTCATCCAATTTTAGCAGACTGTTTCATGGCAAAACTAGAAAACGACAAACTCAGTTCAATGATCAATCAATTTCACCTATACATAAGATACATGGACGATACGTTTGTCGTTTGTGACGATAATATTGATTTAGATGATATTTTACGCACCTTTAACTCATGCCACCCTTCCATAAACTTCACGTTAGAAAGGGAGCGATACCAATCAATTCCTTTTCTCGATGTACTTATGATGGGAAGGGGTAATGGTTCTTTAAAAAGAACCGTCTTTAAAATTTATTAAATGTCAAAGTATAAAGATGTTGCAAATAAATAATATTAATTCTATTGTTTAACTGCTGTCGTGATACTTTTGATCAGATGTTATTTTGTTTAGTGACTCTTCCAGCAGCATATGAGTGGCCAGTTTCGTTGCCCCGTTGATTAAATGGTCTACTCAGTTAAACCATTTTATGTGATTTGCATATCTTGATCACATGAGTTTACTGAGACTCTTCTATTATTCTTATTCCACTAATCGATTTTGATTTGAAAACACGGAACAAACATGAAATCATTATCCGTTTACATATTTTGTATTAACTAAGTTAATACTGACCATAAACACTGTCGCATCAATAAATATATTGTGTGATATGGCCCTGTGAGACATTACATGACAAAACCTCCAATCAGAACATCGATTTCCATGACATTGTCCTTGAGCTAACCATTGATACGCCAACTAGATTTAGTAGCATTTAGTCAACTCTAAATCCTTATTGGTCCTCGATACAGTAGTTTCTTGCCTTATTCCCCCCCCCCCGTTAAGTCCAGAACACAAGAATCAGTCTGTACTTTACAAACAATATATTTCAAACATGCATAATTTATATACATGCAGACCAGACCACATCACACCATAAAGTTAAAAATAACAATTATACATGATCAAACCAAAAGTGGCTATGAGTAGAGATGTCCATAAATAATAGATTAAGAATAAACTAAGAATAGTAAACCGTATAATGGTAGTCAACAGGTCAAACGAAAGCTTATGATAAATGAAATATAGACATATATAGTCTGGTTAATAATAGTGATTATGATCCTTAATTAATTCCTGGAAATTACCATTCATTCACTTCTCTTAAGATGTAACATGGTGCTTCTGTTCTCGTTTTGTATACTTAAGATTTTACTAAATGCACTCACTGCCAGCTCATTTAATTTTCATTAACTTAAGAAAAATTATTCGAACTTGGTTTAGTTAAAAACTGTTCAGGATGTTAGACCAGTATATCGAAAAACCTGTATAATCCAATGAAATTCTCCCAAGTACCAAAAAGGAGACATTTAAGTGAAACTGGACAAAATTTATATGAAAATATGTCAGCTATCACCCAATCCAATCATTATCTAGAGTCTTGTCGGCTTATTAATCATACTGCATAGTATTTCATTACTATAAAACAATAAATATTTCGGTTTGATATATTTCCTTACCGAGAAATGGAGACAGTCATGAGAACAATGAACAACAATTGGATAAAACTAGAAAGGATGGCTCAGGATAAAGTGCTTTGGAAAGTGCTGGTCGGTGGTCCATGCTCCATTTGGAGGAACAGATGTAAGTAAGTAAGTAAGTATTTTCTTACAGTATGAATAAAAATCTTACACATCATCCCCTAATCCCATTTTAAAATGAACCAGTTGTTGTACCTGCCTCAGAAATAATATACATGACAAGTATAAAGATAAAGATTTGTTAACAGTTTCACATTATATGACAGCTTAAGATTTACTTTATTACTGAAGCGTAATATGTTATTCATTAAAATTTTTTATTCATTATGCTTAACGCTATAAACATCTAAGCTGTAGTGTAGTAACTAAAAGCATTTCACTTCAAATCATTGATTTATTACTTTAAATATCGTTCCGTTTTTAATTTGGTTTAACACAACTGGACCGTATTACAAACCTTAACGTTGAAATATAGTAGAATACATAGATGAATGTATCAAAAATTGTTTAGAAGCTCAATAACATTCAATTTGAAAGTAAAGTATGAATTGAATACCCTATACATTCTAATTTATAGTTTAAATAAATAATTGGCTATTGGACACCAATGGATGGACAATCTTAACCAAAAAAATGAAATAAATTCAACTCAAATTTGTTTTATTTATTCAACAAACACAAACATTTTATTTGTATTTTTTATTATTAGTCCTAATTCTCATTCAAATCTAATACTCCTTGTCAACCAAATATTTAAATCTATACAGATAAATATACAAAATAAAAGATATTACAATCTTTGATATTATTCTTTAGTACTGTTGTTTATTGTTTGTTTGGTTGCTTTGTTTCATTTTTTTCCTCCCTCCCTCCCTCTCTCTCTTCTGTTACTGGGCTAAATTATAATTTATTGATTTTCAGTTTTATATTTCATTTTCTTTTTGTTTTCCTAAAAATTTTTTTTATTTTATTCATTCTTTATTTAACTAACAACATGTGTTAACTTAAATCCACCACCAGTAAAACGTGATTGTGAATCTTTAATATGTGGTTGATATTTTCGTAATTTATTTCCTTGATTAGTACAATTATCATTATTATTATCATCATCATTTGATGATGTATTCATTTGTTGTTGACGTCTTTTTTGTTTAAAATATGTTTTTTTTACATTTTGTAATTCACGATTTAAATGTTCAATTTCAATTTTATATTCAGTAATTTGACTTTCATAAACATTCATTTCAGCTGTCATTGCCTTTATTAAAAAAAAGCAGTAAAATGGATATATAAATTTGTAATGATAAATAAAGTGAATAATATGCTTTATATTGAAAGTCTATTCCATAGTATTTATACAACTGTTAACTAACGCTGATGTGAACAGGGAAACAAGAAGCCCTGACAAACTACGAAAGCTATTTTTCGGGACGTTATTCCATTTTATTCAGAGCTTGTAAAACACTAACATTTATTTTTGTCCCTAATCTATTCTACAGAACATAAGCTTTCGTTCGAGGTATGGTTCATTGGCATATCCTTTTTTGTTCCGAAGCTATTGTAATTTAAACATAATATTTTGCACTCTTTTCTACGCTAATTCCCGGCTTTGGACATAATTGTATTTTTCCAAATTATTGTACGTTGTGTTCGGGTTAGTCACCTATTTATTCATGTACCTTTTTACAGTAATCCGAAGAAAATCAGGATATCGGGAGTAGATCGAGCAGGGTTCCAGTTGTCTTGTCTCTCATTCGCGTACTTATCAGCCAATCAGGTGATAGAGTAGTTTTCTCTCTACCCCATTTTGAAATCACGCGTACTAGCCTCAAGGTTAGGTGGGTCAGCCTATCGCGCCAAGGTCTTAATTTGGATTAGAAAAGTATCCTCAGCACCAAAAGTGGGTAGACAGATCAAGGATATGACAAACACCACAGTCAGAATTTTCAATACAAATGTCAAAACAGTTCTACTGTATGCAGAGGAAACTTCAACAATTACGAATGCAATCACCCAGTATATACAAGTGTTTATTAACAGTTGTCTACACAAAATACTTCGGATCTGTTGACCACACCTTATCAGCAACAACATACTATGGGAGAGAACAAACCAGATCCCAGAGGACGAAGAAATCAGGAAGAATCACTAGAAGTGGATAGGACACACATTGAAGAAAGCACCCAACTGCATCACGAGGCAAACACTAACTTGGAATCCTCAAGGCCAAAGGAGGAGAGGAAACCAAATAACACATTACGCTGAGAAATGGAGATAGACATGAAAAGAATGAAGAAGAAATGCATAGAACTAGAAAGGAAGGCGGAAGACAGAATGGTTTAGAGAATGCTGGTTGGCGGCTTAGTCTCCATTGGAGGTAACGGGCGTAAGTAAGTAAGTAAGTAAGTAAGTAAGTAAACTTTACTTAGAATGTAATCTTATGGCTAAGATAGTAATCATAATGAACCCTTGTATTCTGATGAAAGATCAGTTTTCCAAAACAGTGATGTTGAATGACTGACATACAGTCACTGTCATCCTACTGTCACTCACAATGATATTTTTGAAATAAATCACTAAGACCCATTTCGAATAAAATCCAACATTTTAGAATTAATCAACAATTATCAAGTTGGGACATTTATAAAATATCAGCATTAATCAATTATCATTATGGCATTAGGTTGATCTAAAACCATGCACATAACAAAACATTTGAAGTAATTCACTAACAGGAATAGGAGATTGAAATTACTGATCATTTTTAGCATCATCCCAAATAGTCACTCTCATTTGAAGTAGGGACGGATAATTTTATCCGAAAAGACAATAAAACCTTCGTCTTTAAATCATTTAGCTCATATAACTTAGCATATTCAAATTTATATCTCAGTTAATAAAATGTAAGGAACGTTTATAATGACTGAATCAGGTTACAAACAACCCTATCCTGATAATTATTGTATGTTCATTAGTAACTACCTTGTATAGTAAATTTCTGGAGTCCTAGTGAGAAGCCGTGACCAGTAGATTTCAACATTGTTGAGTGTGAAGTATTTACCTACCGAAAACAATGGAAGATGGTCGCACAATATAATTGCTTGGTTGAAGTTAGACATTCACAAAGTCAGATGCCGGCTCAGTTGTCTAATGGTTAAGTTTTCGTGCACGAGACCAAAGATCTTGGGTTTGATTACTTGGTACGGGGTTATGGATTGATACTATTGAGTAGTCTCATGCCAAGACGAAACGGCCATCCAGTACGTCCAGATTTTCAACGGTTATTCAACTTAAATCGATCCATGAAACTCAACAATCTCTACAACCCTATACTGACAGATGTAAGTAATATGTTCAAATCATTAACGAATTTATGTAGCACATATACACAAACCAGTCGTCACAGTGTTATTAACAAAACTAGTAATTAATAACTAAATCACTTTTCTTATTTCACTCACTTTCATTTGTTTTGTTTTATCTCTGATCATATTTTGGTAGATATTCAATTGTTCTGCAACTTCTGGACCTGGATGACGTGCTAATATATGCTTTAATTCAATGTAAATTTTTTCTTTTTCTTGAATAAGTAATTCTTTTTCAACCACTTCTTCAGTTTTGCTAATAAGACGTTTTTGTAATGCCTGAATTTTCTGTATCATTTCATAGGTAGATGGATCACTTCCCTAGATAAATAAAAATACCATTGGTTATATATATTCATAGATTTACTGGTATCCATTATTCTAAAAAAAAATAGGAGATTGTATACAAGAGACTGTCACATTGACGTATATTGTATCTCTGAATAACAGAACCATCTATTGTTGCATTCTAACCTTGGTTTAACAAAGTTTTATTTCAAAACAATTGTCTTCAATTTATGTAACTTACAAGAGATTAAATTATTGTCGGTGATCATGTTGGATACGGTTACATAATAAATGATTGGACAGTTAAGGAATGATAGTATATGTTGGGAAGATCCAGAAAACTCCTCGAAAGAAAGGCTCTGAAAATACTGAGAAGCATCTTATCCAATCAACGTTCACTAGAGGTTTAGCCAGAAACATCTAGAAGTTGGAAAGTCACATTTCGAGTTTCTGATTGGATGATTACTATACTGCTACTATGTTTAGTAGCATTCTAGAATTTTCGGGAAAACCCAAGGACATCGAAAAATACTATAAAAACCCTATATTTTCTGTACATAAACGAACCTTCGGAGTAAAGTGTTTCTTGCCTATTTTGCGCCTTTTCTTTTGCATTCAGGTCGCTGTGTAGTTCTAGCTTGGAGGTTCCTAGAAGAGCTTAGGAATCGAATATAGCGTTCAATTAGAAAGACTTATCAGTATACTTAATATAAAAAGTTGGGATAAGGCCTTAAAATTAACTAAATTAAAGTACTAGACTAGATACAGCCAGATGAATATCCATAGATTCAAATTAAGGCAACTTGTAGTTATTTGTTAGAATACAAAAAAGTGCCGTTTTTTTCATTTTACAGTTTGATCTTTATTTATTTATTTTTAAAACAAGTTTACGTGCTTCAATGTTAAATGATCAGCCTTATCCTTAACTGTTGTTCACTTGCCCAATATCCTTCCATCATTTAATATATAATTTACTCCTCAACATGATTAACTTATCTAACAGTATACTAATGAAATAATCAAATTCATTGAAATCTTTATTTTTCAAATGTAAGGACGAATATAAGTTTCAAATAGTTCAAGTCAAAATAAAAGTTTTGGTTATTAATATGTAGGAGTGTGAAAAGTTTACAATTAAACAGTCAGTAAGTGTAAATACAACGGAAAATAAATATTCCAAATTGTAGTATGCAATTAGAAAGTGAATTAAATTATCTGAAATTGATCTATTTACCTAAATTTACCTGGATCTTAGTGTGGATTTTCACACTGGAACTTGAACGTAATTCCTTTCTTTGTGGACGTCAACGAGTTATCCACTAAGTTGCTGAGTCAAGATAGTCACTTAATTGTGCAACAAGTATGATATTTAGATAATCTTTTTTTAATGTTTTAAATTATTCACATGGGTTACACATTAGCCAACCAACATGGATCAAATGCAGTCAAGACTATTACTTAATTACTTACGCCTGTTACCTCCAATGGGGAATACGCCGCAAACCAGCTTTCCATAACCCATTCTGTCTTCCGCCTTCCTTTCTAGTTCTATGCATTTCTTCTTCATTCTTCTCAGGTCTGTATCAATTTATCAGCGTAATGTGTTATTTGGTCCTCCTTTTCTCATTTGGCCTTGAGGATTCCATGTGAGGACTTGCCTTGTGACGTAGTTGGGTGCTTTCTTCAACGTGTGTCCTATCCACTTCTAGTGATTCTTCCTGATTTCTTCGTCCTCTGGGATCTGGTTTGTTCTCACCCAAGGAATCCGAAGTATTTTGTGTAGACAACTGCTAATAAATACTTGTATCTTCTGGATGATGGCTTTTGTAGTTCTTTAAGTTTCCGCTGCATACAGTAGAACTGTTTTGACATTTGTATTGAAAATTGTGACTTTGGTATTGGTTGACAGTTGTTTTGAGTCTCAGATGTTCCCCACTTGTAGATATAATGCTCTTGTTTTGTCGTTCCGCGCCTTCACATCTGCATCAAACCAACCGTGTTCACCAATGATGCTGCCCAGATATGTAACGGTTTTCACATCCTCCAATTCTTCTCCGTCAAATGTGATTTGACTATTGCATGTTATTTTGTATCAGAGAATCTTGCTTTTCCTTTTGTGTATATTGAAACCTAATGCTGCTGAAGCTGCTACCACACTGGTCGTCTTCTCCTGCATTTGTTGTTGCGTATGAGGTGGAAGAGCCAGATCATTTGCAAACTCTAGATCATTCAGCTGTCCACTGTATCACATGCTTCATTTAATATGTTGACATCTTTCTAATCCAGTCGATCACCAGGAAAAAGCAAAAGGATGAAAAAAGCAACCTTGGCTGACATCGGTCTTCGAACCATTCTTTATGTTGTCCTGATTATTAACAGTACAATAATTCAAATATAAGTATAACTCCATCAATGAATAGTCATCTAAGTAATTAAAACCCATTATGTAATTATAATTTTAAACATCATAGATTGTAAGCAGCAGACGAGAACCTACGAAATAAAAAAATGAATTCATGCTATTCTGGTCGAATCTTTGTTCTTTCTCTTTTTAAAATGATATAGGGAATTATGTGTATAAAAGAGAACTCGATTCAAGCAATAACGATATAATAGTTGTAATCATGCGTCAATTGAAGCTATATCAGCATGAAAAATCTGTAAGCACTGGACGGCGGTTTCGTCGTAGTATCGGACTTCTCATTAGTGCACATCCATAGTCCCTCTCCCCGCAAGATTCAAACCTAGGATCTATCAGTTTCGCGTGCGAGCGCTTAACCATTAGACCGCTGAGCCGGTAATCTACCTTCAATTGTCTCATGATTTCAACTATTGAAATTACTTAAATCTCCTCAAAAACCCATTCTGATAATAATCTCCTGCTCAATAGTGACTGACTTCAAGAGACAGTCCTAGAGTTTTAGTGAGAAGCCATGAACAGTAAAGTTCAATCAAGTCTGTTGTGAGATATCAGCTCACTGAAGACAATGATAACAGTGGTGCCATTTCGTGGATTGGTTGAAGTTAGACATTACCAACGTTGGATACCAGCCGGCTCAGTGGTCTAATGTTTAAACGCTCGCACGCGAGACTAACAGGTCCTGGGTTAGAAAATCTTGCGGGAGGGGGTGATGGTATCGTGGATGCGCACTGCTGAGGAGTCCCATATTAGGACGAAACGCCCATCCAGTATTTCCAGGCTTTCCATTGTGATCTAGCTTCAATTGACTCATGATTTCAACTATTGAAATTACTAAAATCTCCACACAAAAAAGCAACCTCTTCTGATAATAACAATATATACATAATAAATTATAAATCATACTTCTAATTTTCTCCATCTATGAACATTAATAGGATTTTGTAATTCATCTTCTAATGCTTTTGCTTTAATTTTTTCTTTTAATAAATTTTTCTCTATTCTATTTATTTCTATTTTAAAATCAGTTAATTTTTTATTATTAATTTTTAATATTGATTTTTCATGACGTAAATTTTTTATTTCTTTTTTTAATATATTTATATCATTTATTCTTTCATTATATTGTAATTCACCTTTATTTAATATTGATTGTTGTATTTTTAATTTTTCATATAATAATAATAATTCATCATTTCTACGTATTAATTGACTACCTAATAAATCTCTTTCATTTAATAATTGATTATAATTAATTTTTTCTTTATTACGTTCATTATTTATATCATTAATTAATTGAATTAATTTATTTTCTTCATTTTTTTGTAATTCAATATAATTTATATTTTCATTAATTTGTAATTTTAATTGATTAATATTCATTAATAATTGTTCATTAGATTTTTCAATTTTATTTTTTTCTAATTTTTCTTTAATTAAATTCATATCACGTTGAGTTATATCATTTTTTAATTGATTCATTTGTTGTATTAATAATTTTAATTGTTTTTTTAATTCAATTAATTCATTTTGTGTATGAATTAATTGTTTATTATATAAATTACGATCATTACGTATAGCTTCATATAAATTTTGTTGTTGTTTTAATTTTGTTTCATATTCGGCAATTTTTTTTTTATTTTCAAATATTTGCATTTCACGTAATTTTAATTCATCCATATTTGTTAAAATTTTTTTAGTTAATTCTGATGCATCCATAATATAATGATCACGTTCACGTTCTAATTTATAAATTATTTGACGTTGTTTTAATGCTTCATCACGATAATTCATTATTTCCTGTTCTAAATTTTGTTTAGATAATTCATGTATTTTAATTAAATTTGTTTGTTTTATTGTTTGTGTTGTAGTTTTTAATAAAGTTTTATTTATTATTTCTTTTTCATGATTTAATTCATCACATGCTTTTTTATTTAATTCATTTGTTTTATGTATTAATTCAATTTGTGTTTCATAGGAATGTATTTCATTATGTAATTGTTCACATGTATGTTGTAAATTTAATTTTTCCTCTTCAATTTGATTATATTTTTTAGAAATTAATTCATTTTGTTTTAATAAACGATGATAATCGATTTTTGCACGTTGTACTTCATCTTCACGTTGCTAAGGAAATAAATAAATAAAAAGGAATAACAGATACTTATTGAAATTTATTGAGAAATATGAAAAAAATGTGAAGAGAGAAAAGAAAAAACACCAAAGAAATTGTTTAAAGTCAAAGGTGATAATGTCACCGGGTCAATTAATATGAGATTAAAAATTGCATTGATGAGAACTTATCCTGCAGGTAAATTGATTGTCTTGTCCAAAATAACATTTTCTGTGACATAATCAAAGGTCGAAAGATATCCCTTTCATATTTACTATCAACTGTGTACACAAATGTACATGTATCTACCAAAGCAGTTAGATTGATAGAACAGAAAGGAGAGGCTATGTCTGATTAAAAGAATATATTCCGATGAGTTTAAGATCAAACAAACAAAAAGCATTCAGTAGTGCCACGGCAAGACATCTCCTTGACACAGGATATGAAGTCGATATAATGAAGTCCTTCAAGGTGATTAACAAATCATCAAATTCAAATCTTTTGAAATTTGCCGAAGCGATAGCAATCAGGTATCTAAAACCAGATCTATGTATACAAAAAGAAACAGTAATAAATCTTTCTTTGCCCTGGTAACATTAGCCCTCCTTTTATTTATTTATTTATTACGTCATTCATTAGTCCAACTCTTTCTGAATTGTAAAATTACATCATTCATAACTCACTGACTTCAATTCATACCTTTCTTTATTACTATCTATTTTCAGTTACTTAATTACACAGTTATCTAATGTTTGTTAACTCCATGAGTTCTGATCACTATTTCAATGTTCTGGAACTTTCCCTCCCGAACTATTTATTTATTCGAAACAAAATTTTATGGCCTCATTAACTCTATCGGAATCTTTGCTACATCATCATACATATATTCATCCTTAATCACCCTCTTATATATGAGTATGTCAATAACTGTAATAACTCTGATTTTAGGCTGTAAGCAGCTGATGAGAACCTAACGAAATAAAATGGATTCATATTATTCTGCACCAATCTTTGTTCTTGCTCTATTTAACATAATAAAGAGAAATAAATGTATGAAATAAAAAAATAGTTGAATTAGTTTAATAAATTAAATATTATTTACATATTTAATTGTTGTTACTAAATATAATTTTATTTTGTTAAAAATGATTTGAAAAAAAGGCTTACGTTCAAATCATCTCTGTAGTCCTATTATACTTTTATGCCCAATCACTGACTACCTTGACATGAGATGTTTTATGGTGTAGGAGTAGGTTGTAAGAAAGCTATGGAAGGCCAGACCAAAACATGGCACGAATTCATGAAGTCACTGACAAGTGGACTGAAATAGGTGTTGACTACCTGGTTGGGATCCGCGAGATGATAGCAGTCGATGGTTAGAGACCCTGAATGACATGGCTCAAAATCGTTTGTAATGGTGCAGGTGCATCCACTCTTTGTGTTCCCTCAAACTCTAATCTTCCGAATTGTGCATGTCTCTTTTTGTTTTCTTTCCAAATTTATTTCACTGTATTATACTCTTTGACTAAAATCTTCAAACCCTAATCTTTCCGATTACTGCTTATACTATTCCACATCTACCACTACGGGATTTGAATCGACAATTGTATCTGTGTGCAACTCGAACTGATCTACGTACGTCCGAAGTTCTACGTTGTTACTGACTGACTGACTTTGTTCTCTGAGCTGGATGGTTTTGTCGTGAGGCTTTCATCATTCTTCTGAAGGACATCATCAGTACAAATTTCAGGTGAAAGTGGAGTGTTCGAATTTCTCCACTTGATGTTCACAGCTTATCCTATAGGAAGTATATAAGAAGCCGATTCACACAGATCGAATTCTCAACTACAATAGCAAAAACCCAAGAGCTCACAAAATCAACTGCGTACAAAATTTTTTGAAGAGAGCAAGGGCACATTGCAACACACTTGCAGCACGAAAAAAATAATGAAAAATACCTCAAGAACGGCTACTTAGTCAACTTCGTAAAAAAAATACCAGCCACACGCATCATCAAAAACAAAGTCAAGTACAGAAATCAACAAAAGGATCACCCTACGGTACATAAAAGGCATATCAGAAACTACAACGAAACTACTGAAAACCTTCGAAACAGGTGTTTTACACAAACCAACTAAATCACTACAATCAATCCTATGCAAACCAAAGGATGAAATGACAAATCAAACGTCATCTACAAAATAATTATGTGCCAACTGCGAAAAACGCTACATCAGACAAAACGGACGCCCTTTTTATCTTCGCTCACATGAATATCAATTAATATTTAAGCACCATGACATGTCCTCACTTATATCAATGCACGTGGACAACTGCGGACACACATTCGATTGGAAAAATGTGGAAAGTTTGGATAGTGGCAATTCCAAAAACACCAGAAAATTTTTAGAAGCTTGGCACTCAGGTCAATCAGTAATAAACAAGCACATTGATATTGATTCAATTTACCAACCAATCAAGAAAATAATGAATAAACATAGGAACAAAGAAGTAAACAATGATAGGTTTAAGGTCAACAAGAACTAATCAACATTGAGTTCTACAGGACAAGCAGTGAACCACATGTAGAGAAATTCGAACACTTCACTTCTACCTGAAGTTTGTGCTGACGATGTCATTCACAAGGACGGTGAAAGCTACACTACCAAACCATCCAGCCCAGAGAACAAAACTCCACCAAAGTCATCCACTTGAGCTACAAATTTTCTCCACCATCTCCCAATAAATACTGCTGGACTGGGGTTGCTTGACAGGGTATCAAAATATCCAAATATCACATCTGTAACTGATTGTACTATAACAGTAGCACACTGGATCTAACTTGATGTCATTAATTATGATGACTTTCCTGCATGACTTTTGTTAAATGCTAATGAAATTACCTCTTATTATGTGATTTGTGTGCATCATCTGTCGGCATTTTCTTAACACTGTATATATTTGATGTGATTGATTTTTTGTTTCAGTAAAATTTCTATACATAAAAATTATATTCATTCTCATGTATTACTTATGACACTTGCAAATGACCTTATTGACTAGTATTTCTGTGATTTTGCATTTTATGAATAATTATCCTTTCAATTGGTTGAAGGTTAACCCGCGTATTTTCGTCGATTTAAAGAAAGTGATTTGATTTAGTAGTATAAACAATGTAATCTTTTGATGAGGCCATAAGTTTCAGCCGATTGAGTTGTATTACACCAGCTCAGCAACCTTCGATTACTGGAATAACAAGTTATAAGTGGATTAATGGTGGTTAGATGAAGAACTTTTGTCAATTTATGAAGTCAGTGACCACTGAATTGATCTGGTTCGAGAGATATATACTTTCTAGTAAAGTTATTTGGCAAATTCTTGATTAACAGTGAGAAATCACTAGTGATATGACTTGAAATCAGTGCCACTGGCGAACACACATTCTTCTCTTCACTTTTGAGTCTGCAATCATTCTGAATTTATTGTTCTATTGTTCCATTTCATTAGAACTATGCTTCTTATTTTAAGTTATCACCATCATCACATTATTCTGATGAATCGCCAACTTTCATCTTTGCAAATTTCTAATATTGATCTAACGTGCGTTATGACAATTTTCCACCAATATATAATGATTTTAGACTGTACGTTCTCTATGAATGAATGGTTAACACTAGTTTTTCTTGTCTCAATCAATTGTTTTAGAAACTGGAAATACATTCATATATGCTATAAATCACTATAAAGACTTTACTATGAAACAAAACACGAAAATCTAAAATAGTACCTTCACTTCAGTTGTTTTTGAGCGCATTTGAGCCGTGATAGATTCATTAACTTCAATCTGTTGTTCAAGTTTTGCTTGACAATCTTTTAATTTGCCTTCAGTTATTTGTAAATGACGATTAGCTTGCTCCAAAGAAACTTTTGTTGCACGATTTTCTTCATCTTTTGTGCGTAGTTCTTGTTTCAATTTCTCAACAGATGCTGACGTAGAACTGATCTCTCCCATTTTTGCTTCAACTTCACTACGTACCTGTTTCAAATCTTTTTCCATTCGTTCTTTCTTACGCAATTCTCTTTGTGCTTCGAGATTTTTATTCTATCAAAAATGTTATATTGAAAAGTAAATAAAATTATCTGCTAAAAATGACCAAAGTTTTAAATAAGTTACATACTATAATGGGATGACTTCAATATTTTAACTTACTCATATTTCGGGTCATTTTGTTGCTTATAAAATCTCAAAAAGGAATCATCAATATGATTGTCTTAATTTTAACTATTTTACCCTACATTTTGAAAATTATCAAAATTCGCTTTAACTACTTTAAAGTAGTTCCATATAATTGGTAAAATAAGTAAACGGTTGGCTAAAATATCGTTCACTTATACATGCAGTATACATACTTGAAGTGAAGTTTAATAGCCAACAACTATGTAGACGAAGGTAAATACTTTCTGGGTAAAATCTCAATAATAAGGAACACTCTATATGGTTCTTAAACGATTTGAATTTTAAGCAAGTAAATTTATCTTTTGATAACATAGAAATCACATTCAAATAGTATGGTATTTCTTGTGTTCTGAATAAAGTTTTAGGTTTACCCAATAAACCTTCAAAGATTTCTTGAAGATAAAATAAATTGTAGTCAACTATGTTCAGAATGAGGCAAAATAATCTGCTTTGTAATATCATGAAGTCAGCGTAGTGTTCTAGTTGATATAACTAAATAACATATATTATAATTCAATTTCTCCAGTCATTAAGGCTACCATTTTGAGTAATAAGCTGCTATTTTACAAAGATTAGGGGATTCAGTGGAATTTATGACAAGGCAGTGCCAATTTCAAACTTTTTAAACAAACAAGTTTGTTCTATGTCATAAAATAGGAAAATAGTAGCCATGAAATCAAAATTCAGCACCAATCAAACTAAAAACAATCTTGATTTAAAATCCCCAAAAAGTGCTTGTTTTTATTCAGCAGAAAAAAATTTAAAATTTTAACTAAGTGGCCCGACCTATTAAGATACATAACATAATGATAACCAGATATCGCGTCATAATTTTTAAATTCTTCCAGTTAACTAACCTGGAGATCTACAGTTAATTCTGTGATTTTATTTTGTGCTTCCAGCAATTCATTTTGACAAATTGCAACACGATTCCTAGTTTCTTCAATTTGTTCTCTTAATTTCTGGTTGTCGGTAATTTGTTCATCACGTTCTTTAAGTAACTTCTCTTTTTGCCTTTGTAACTCAACTAAACTAAATAATATAAAGTAGTATAACACATGTGCAAATATTTCCTCAAATGCGTTCACAGCCTTACAACTAAATTCTTCTTAAATTTCATGATCAACACAAACATTTTACCGTCGAATAAGCTGGTATTGTATATAACAAAAAAAACAGTTTGTTTATTACGAAGTAGTAACCATCATCATATTCGTTTAGTCATTTACGTGCTAATACAATCCTTCAATTGATTTATTATTCACATTTTAACATTAAAATACAAAATTCAGAGGACAGATCACTTTTTAATGAACATTTAAGGCAAATGCTCGTTTGATGTTATTAAGTGATTAAATAGATCTGTAACCCCGTACATTTTTATTCTTACTTTTTCTTTGGAATACTAATAGGTGTTCAGTGAACACAAATCACTCATAAACGAGTTGCTTTATTCATATGTTCTTCCTCGCAATGTTCTATGTTGTTAGTTAAATGAATACAAGACTTCCGGTTATTCAACACTAGTTTACGACCTACTAAACTTTGTAGAAGTTGTTGAATGTATGCATACTGTTTGCATCAATTTCAGTGTTTTATAGTTTCAGAGAATTCTGTTGGGTGGCTGAAGCAGGTTTTGTTAAATAGAATTAAATTTCCATTCACTGATAAGCAACTTTACTCCAACACACCTTGATAAATTAACATATTTACCAAAGTATGTCTAGTTAATAGCAATTTTAGAAATCACATCTTTGAATAGACATTTTCTTCACCCTAAAATGGTTTTGAATGTTTCCGTTCTACTTCTAAGATCTTGGTGTCTTACCTTAGGCTTTTCTACTACGTGAATATTGCATAAATATATTACTTTCAGGATTTTTCAAGCTTCAGTAGATTGGTTCCTTCTAAAAAATAAAGAATTACGGACCGTTTGTGTTCCTTGTTTTGAAATAACTGTATAGAAATATTACTGTGGTGTTTATATGAACTAATGATTTCTTTGTACTTATTGACTGCTTGATTTCAAATTCTAAGTACAATACGTTTGTTCGTGCTTTCTCATGCAGCTCTCAAGAAACTACTGCTAGACCATGTTAAGTATACAAATTTCAAGTGCGGTAAAGAAGGAAAATTTCGTAAGATGATTCACCAGGTCATCAAAAATTCCACTACATTACTACATCATCCCAATCCGGTGCGTACGCAAGGTTATGCAGAAAGTTCATTGAGGAGTTGCGATGCAGTTCAAAAAGATGAGCACAAGTTTGGTCAATATTTGTCCTGTGGCAGGTTTCACCCATTTAATTCTTGCGTATTTTGTAATTTTAGATGTGGTGAAGTTGGATACATTCAGTCAGTCTATAATACTAAGGTTCATTCCGCTGCAACTAATGCTAAACTTTGCAATCGTGATCCTACTAAGTTGAGTGTTTCTGATGATTATTTATGTTTATCCACAACTTTGAAAAGTGGTGCAGCGTCACTTAGCAGTCCAGGGTTAAATGAAACTCAGAATTCTTGTGAAACAACAGTTTCTAATCAACCAACATCTTGCCAGGTGTCACTGTACCAGATGTGGCTTTTTCTAATGATTCATATATTTCTTATGAAATTTCTTACAAATCTGAGGAGAATATGTTGAGTGAATCTAATCATGATCAAAAACCTGATGCAGTTTTGATAGATGTTGATTTTTCTAATGATTCATCACTCTCCAATGACATTCTTAATAAATTTTAGGAAAATATTTCAAAAGAATAAAATCCTGATGTCAGATCGTATATTATTTATCCTGATAATGCATTTGCTTCTTGTGGTAAACTTGGTCAGTGCGAAGTACGAGTACTGAATGAACTCGATCATGATTACAATTCTGGTGATTTCATAGCAACTGTTGTTTCTCCTTATCATGAAGTCGCTTCTAATAAATACTCTAGTCTGTGTGAGAAATATGTTTTAAATGAAGTCATATCTTTCATTACTTGGCGATATGAAGATCCAATATTATTTCGTGGGAGAGGATAGTGTTGCAATATCTATGGTTCAGGTTCTAGATATCAGTGGCTTCAGTAAAAGACTGACATGGTGACTGTATACAATTCCAGGACCCAGCTGTGTCCGTTCCAATTTCAGTTGTTAATTCTAATACTGATGGACATACATGAGCACAAAGTCTTCATCCAGCACACAGTCGGACAGACACGATGAACCTAAGGAGAAGAGACACAAATTACTGCAGAAATTCGGATTCTCATTTAAGCTGTGGCTGATGGGGTGTTTATATGAACTAATGCTTCCTTTGTACTTGTTGACTGCTTGATATCAAATTCCAAATAGAATGCGTTTGTTCGTGCCCATCTAATACTTCTTGGTTCAACTGCGTTATTTCTGGGGTTCTTAGTTTGTACTATGATTCAAATACTTCTAGTTATCACAATTACATATTACATTATAATAATTACTACGAATCAGCACAGTATAACCATTCTATTTTTCATCCGAAGGATTTACTTAGTGTGATTTTTACAGATTTCTAAGACCAAACCAAGTAATCCGTCAAAAGAAACCCGATATTTTGTGCGCATGAAGTTTTTTTATTCTCCGAAATGCGTTTACTAAAAGATCCCGAAGTTTTAAAATATGAGAACAAGTAGGCTTATTCTTTCACATCAACGTCGAAATGCTCAATCAGTTTGCAAAACACCACGGACAAAATGTAGCCTATTCATACTGTGTTAAATTAGTTGGGCTTCACATTTATGAATGTCTGAGAGCAAAACAAACAAATCTATGTCATACGTGCTTATGATTAAGTTCACATAAAGTATCTGGTTTAACCCGCGGCATCCTTATGTGGTCGTTGGCTTTCTTGAAGAAAGTAATCTAAACATCCTTATTTTTTAAGTAGTTTTAAGTGTTAATACATTCTAAGTGACCGCAAATTTTCACTATTGGCCTCCGTTGTGCCAAAGTAGCGATACATTTGCGTCCTGTTCAAGATAGAGATATACAATTAGATCGTTAGTTATGATCGTTTTTTGTAACTAATCCTTGTTTGAGAGTAAGCAAACTGTAACTTTGGTTCAAACGAATGCTAGCTCCCAATCCAAACATAATTTCAAAGATTTTGGACACTTAGAAGCTACCAAATCATTGGAAACCTCACTGATCTCCGACTACAGTTATATTTTATTATTTTATGCTTCTTTTGGCTTTCTGGCTTAAATTGGTCAGTGGTAAGGAGGATAACAGTTAGAAATAACCTTTGAAAACAGAACTACTCCTTGAGTGTCCATCGAAAATAACGGTATATATCATTACCTTTCTGATCCAGCTGCGTCAGCGTCAGTGCGTTCCAGTAACTTGCTTAAGTTTGCTATTTCTTCCTTGAGATCTTTAATTGTTGCATGAGCTTTAGATTCTCTGTCAGCAGCAGCGTCGACCATCTTCCATGCCTGCTCGATTTCCCGTTTAAGATTCGTGACGTTATTTGGATCATCACTGGAAATGTTTGCGGCCTGTGCAACCTTCGCAGAACTTGAAATAATTTCTGATTTCAGCTCCCTACACTTTCGCATTAACAGTTTTTCATTATCATGAGATTTGGAAAATGCCCTCATTAACTTTTCATACCCTTCCTTGAATTTCTCCAAATTTTTATTTCCCTCCAATTCTCTCAGAACCTGGTTGTTAATTTTTATTCACCTGAAAATTTCTAAGGTTTACCTCGTCAAAATCACACTTCAGAGCCTCGTAGGTCTCATCATCAACGGCAGATTTTATTGTCACTTTCGTGACGTCGGCCTTAAAATAATTTGAAAAACTTTTATCTCTTACATCAGATGTATTCGGTTGTTGATTCATTTGTAATTCGTTGGTTACTTTTAAAAAATCTACATTTCGTAGTCATGAGAACAACCTTGATGCGGTCACTCGTGTGTTAGTAAGTGTAGGGTTGATAATCATTTTTAGTGTTCAATGTGAGTACGTTATCAAGCACTCTCACACAGTTTTTCCTTTACGGCTGAGCCACTTAGAAGACTGGAGATATGTTATATGAATCACAAGGGTCAAGGTACTGTTCTAAAAGAGACTTAAAATAGGCATATTTACACATCTTACTGAGTGAGGTTATTAGTGAACTAATGAATACTATTAAAAGATCATTCCAGTTTTCCTGATATATATTTTGTCGTTTGGATTAAATGTCTCGCTGAGATATCCCTGAATGTAGTAAATCAGCCCACAAGTAGTCTTGACGTGTTGAATCTTATCAAGATGGTATCGCACTCCGTGTTGTGAATATTGAGTTCCATAGTAAAAGTTATTTTAAGGTCACTTAAACGTTTCTGTGATAAGAATTTTCTCCTGAACCCATTGGAGTGCCAGTTTATAACTTCACCCTGTAAACTGTTTAAGCCATATATATCAAGGGTTTCTGACTTAATATGAGACGCTTAACCTCACCGACCCAACCGCACTCAGCTACGAACATCTTAGGAATGAGAATATGAATTTCTCCTTCTCGATCTTATTCTAATTTTAGTCCCAATTCTACTCGCACTTCATGCCCACTTTTTTACTTGGTTTATAATAAACAGTCTCTATTGGAACGTGAAACGAGTATAAACTAGGACACATTCTACAGTCCTCAAAAACAGAGAAGACTTCTCTAGTCATTTGGCCACCTGAAAAGTTTACCCTCACCATAGAGTAGGTAGAGTGGGCGGTCAAAATCATACCACATGCATATTCTCTAGTATATCTCTCATATTCTGCCAGTTCAGCGATTGTCATTGGTAGAACAGAGTTTAAAAAAGAACACTGGCAATTATTTCGGAAGTATCTGACATTAGTCTTCATACAAAAAACATGTTAGGAATCTTTGACTTGCATCTTTCGAATCATACCAACGTAATCATACCAGTTACCATGACCTAGATTGAAACCAGAGTTATGTTTTTGTCATTAAATGCCAAACTTGAAATACACTTAAGTGTTACGAGTATTCCGTTAGAAGCAAGGAAATAAGGAGATACACAGTGGAAAAATGAATGACAATAGTTTCATGTAGAACCAAACGATCAACGTAATATGTAATGAAACACTAATAAAAAAATTTTAAATTAGGGATAGAAATGAAGGGTTATCCTTTCAAACATACATACACATACGGTATATTTTCACAAACAGGCATACAAATTCAAACTCATTCATTAAAGAATCTTAATGGTAAACGTTTGCAAGGACTTTCTAGTGGTTGATCTTGATATCAAAACTGTTGTTTGATCTCGACCGTATTCTGAAACGTTGTTAGGAAAGTAGTGATCACAAGAGTGAAAGGACAACCGCGCTTCAGGCATATGGGATAGTAAAGCCTGAACTTTCAGTGGGTTATAAATTAGACCGTTTTCCATTCGCTGACTCCTTTAATAACGCGTAGTTTCTTTCAGTTCTCGAATATTTCTCTTCATTTTCTCAAGCCGACAGCAATAATTAAGATGACAGGATTCCTCAATGAATGGATGGTTAGTTGATAACTTGGACACACTTCTTTGACCATTTTATTCAATTTCTACCAATATTACAAGCTGCTTTCATAAGAATCGATCTAGATGACCTATTTTGTAAGAGGATTCGTATAAAACTCACTAAGACCAAATATTCTATTAATTAATAATCCACTCATTCTACTGCTTTGGTAGCTATTCATTATGTGATACTTAAGTAAGGTCAAACATGGTGAACGCGAGAAAGGCTAAAAGATGACATGGCTCAGCCATGCAGGCGTTGTCACCCTGTGTAACCTCTTGCTCTTTTACGAAATATATTACTCTTTTCTCAGCCTTAACGTGTTCTTCAGAAGCGCTTTATGTCATGTTGCTGATTGTCACGATAGGACCAGTCTGTATGGACTATGATGTGACTTACGCATAACCAGTCACCGATTACCATGACTCGCAGTGCTGACTAGTGTTGTAGACGGCTGGGAGAAAGTTAGGGCCAGCCAATCCCAAACGTCGCATCAATCCACAAAGTCTCTAACTTCTAATCTGAGCCATGTTAGTAGATGTAGACTGCTTGGTCAGGGTCCGAGCGACCATCAGGACCAACAGTTGGAGACTCTGGGTAACATGGCTTAGGATCGATCACAAGTTGCGGGTGTACACACACTTTGTCCTCCCATAAACTATGAGATTAAAATTACCTCATAATTTTCTACGAACTAATTCTTTCTCCCTGTATTATAACTTTATATGAAATGTTTCTGCTATCATTGAAGTATCTGCTTCTATGAATCTGGTGTTCATTTTGTTGTGCTAATTAGGTAATGGCACCTTAGACCGATGCATATATGTGTCTGGTCCTACATATTAGATAGTAAGGTA